TTTTTTTTAACACTAATCTGTAGCCATTATAATAAAAAACGCTGCTTTCAGCCTAAGAAAACAAATTAAAATTTTACTTGAAACCATTCATTCGAATAATTTCAGATTTGAAGCGTTTCCAGCTTCCGTGCCTTTTTTCTACGCTGTATTTGAATTTCACACTGTTTTTAATAAGCCGTGATAATATGAATTAAATTTAATTCAGTTTTTCTCCCTATGAAAAATAATTGGATATTAATTTTGATGCTACCTGAACCAAATCCAGTATGTGCTTCGCTCATAAATATTTCTTTCAATATCAAGAATTTCCCTGTTTTGCTAAACGCTTCTAACTTATTAATTTTGATAATCGTAAATGTATTTCTATTTTAATGAAATATTAGTGATCTCATATTTCTACAAAATATGAATATTACAACATTTTATTTCTGCAAAGCATTCATGTTATTTTTACAAAACGCACATATTTCGACGTGTTGTTCTTTCAAAATGCACACATTATAGCAAGTTATTATTTCAAAGTGTACATACTTCAACTTGAACCCAACACTGTAAAAGATTCCGGATCAAATTATGGTATAAAATACCTGCACTTCGGATGTTAAAAATCCATTTTATCGAAAAATTCATTGTTACAGCTTATAATTCATTGTTACATATTATGCTTTAAGTTTTACAATAATATTTATTTAATTAGATTGACTCAGTGATTTTTTCTGCAATTATTACTATAGAAATTAAGGTATGTCAGATCTTTCGTTCCGTAGCATGTTTCGCTAAAAATAGAGTTTATGGTAAAAAGTATCGGCATTCTGAGTGCCAGTACTTTTTACCTTAATCTGATATGGGAATTTTTACAGTACAGTCGAGCCAATGTACCGGCACTCAGAGTGCAGGTATATTTCACTGTAATTTGATCTGGAATTTTTTACAATGTATGAAATGCGCCGTCATAAAATACTTAGAAGAATATTTTTCTATTAAAATATATCGAGATTGTGCCTTGTTTAAATTACTAAATTGACAAATTTTAAAAACGTACGATAATACGACATTATTTTAATATTTTCGGATTAAAAACAAAAAAAAACTTGCCCTAACATAGTTAGTTTTTCCTTCATAGTTACTTTACTTCTGTAACTACTCAGACATTTTTTTATAAGCCGATAAATTATTACATAGTAATTACAAGGTATGAAATATCTCCGCTTAGAAAATATTAAAAAAAAATATAGCTTTCATAGAGAGTACATTTTTCTTGGTTCGTTATAAAAAAAATAAAAGAAAGGTGTAAGACCTGTTTTTATCATAAATGCAATTAGGTCTAAGAATATGATTCTCAAGGACAAAATGGGCTACCTGTTACAGAGATCGAAAGGTTTCGTTAGTGTGTCACAATGAAAAACTTTCTCTCCTCAACTATTACGAGAAGTAGGTCAGGATGTGGTATTTTATTTCATGTTTCCTTTTATGGAATATATTGAAGTGACAAGTGAAAATAACGCTAAAAGCGAATATTCAGAAAGCGAAAGTTGTAATAGAAAAAGTTATCTAATCATTATGATGTTCAAGTTGAGTTTTGATTCTAATTTCAGTTAGATACATTTTTAAGAAAATACCATTATTTTTCTTGTAATAACTTGAACTTTGCATATTTTAGCCGAGATTTAAGTAAACATTAAGTAAACATTTTAATATATTAAATGTAAGTGAAAATAATAATATGTAATTAGAACTAATAATAGTATTTATTAGTAGCTAATAATCTTAAACTTTTTTTATTTAAGCTTTAAAAGTTCATACATTATAAATTATAAAATTTAATTTATTAAATGTAAAATAATAATATGTAATTAAAAATAATAATATTTAATTATTTATACAACCGGTAATTAATTAATAAATTATTAATATCAATTTTTTAATTATGTAAATTAATGAAAATTGATTCTTTTAATTGTACTTTAAAGATATTTAGCTTGATTATAATTTTATATAATAAATTAAAAAATATTTAGAGATTTTTTTTGTTGAAAAAATAAATATGATTTAAGAATAATTTTTATAATTTTAAGTAAGTAATTTATTTATTATGTGTTTTCCTAAAAGTTCAAAATTTTAATTTTATCCTAATGTACACATGTTTGAGGTTTGATTTTACAGATAAAGTTAAGAAATGGATGAATATTTTCAACTTAAAAACTAATACTTATTTTGCAATGATATAATGTGAGTAAATATTTATTTAGATTGTTTTCATGGTTTTATTTATGAAAATGGAAAATTGACAATGCTTTAAATATATACTTTATCAACTTAGACTTTAATGTAAAAAATTAATGCATTAAAATGCATTTTTAATTGTGTTAACTTCCATGTAAAGGAAATAAAGTTCAAGTTACAATAGTTTTAATCAGTTAAATCAAAAACCTGCGTATTATTTTTTTCGAAAACTGCTTTCTGCTTTGTAAAATAAATTGTTAGAAATAGATGTATAAATTTCATTACCCTTGATAGAAGGAATCAGGAATTAATATTAGCTAATAGCTTCGTCTATTTTTCAATAAAAGCATTCCAACAAACAAAAAGTAAAGATAAAAAATGATTATCGAGCTTCCTATTGCTTTAGCTTACCTAGGCCGGGTACTTTTAATTAACAAAAATAATTTTTTTTAGTCAAACACAGTAAGATTCCGTTTTACTTAAATTTTGTTGTGTTTTACTACGTGAATTTTGTTGTTTAATTATATTTGATTTAGCGTCCTGTCATCTTTAAAATATTTTTATGTTTTTAAATAGACATAAATAATTGATTATACTTGATAACTGAAGATAACAGATATCAGTAAATTTCGAAAAATAATCATTTCATTTTCTAATTATAGTTATCATTTTATTTGTTTATGAAATCTTTTTTCGTAACGAAAAATTGGTTTTGAATCACATCACGTTTTTAGATTTTAGAATGTTCCGGGTCAAAAAAAAATGATAATTTAAGCACAAAGAAAAATAAAACAATAAGAAAATGGATTTTAGCTGAATAATCATATTTATTGATGATGATGAAGGATTACACGAAGAGCAAATCTAGTTTCAATTCATTTTTTATATTTTAGTATGGTTAGTGCATTATATCCAATGAAAATTTTTTATTTTCAAAGAGGATTAAAAAAAAATCTCTTTTTTGTTGATAAAACATTATTTTGTTTTCGCATTTAAATTTGCGAAGAAATTTTTTTTAAGCAAGCTAAAATCTATTATAAAATCAAGTGTTTCCGCGAGTTCAAATAAAAATAGTTCGATTAAGTCTGAGAATCTTAGTTCGAATCAGTTATGTAGAATTAATACTGCAAACTTGTTGAGTAATCAAAGACTTCAAGAGTATTGTTTAAAATCACTTTTAAATTTTCATAATTTAAAGGGGTAGAAAAAATGTTGAATTTGGTATTCTTGTGATTAATTGTGATTTTGAAATAGATACCTTGTACATAAAATCTTATAAATGTTTACTGTCATTACGCATAATATTTTACGAATGTTATTTTATACAGTGTTTTTAAACAGAGGCTTTATGCTTCTTGTCCATATCTTAAAATGTTCAACATATTCTAATCTTAAGAGTTTAATATATAAAATACTTAAGTTTTGTTTTACTTCTGAAGTGTTTTTATATACATTACAATTTATACTAAAAACTGGAATTTTTGCAGAAACTTGAAAAATGGATTACATGAATTTCACCTTCAAACATTGGGAAACTTTATTTTTTGAAAAAAAAAATAGTTTAAGTAATAAAAAATTTCCATGAATACAGAGAGTCATGTTTCATCATAAGCAGTGTTAGAATGGCTATATTTTGACGCAATTCTCCTCAGAAAACAATTGATCAATTTTAAATTTTTTTGTTTTTTATCCTCAAATGATGCAAATTTTAATAAATGGTGAAAATGTTAACATTTTATTAAATTTGAAAAGTTCACCTTTTGAAGTTGAGCTTGAATTAATTTTCATTTCCCAAACTTAAAAATTTATTTATTAGGCGAAAAAGCTAAAATTTGAAATTTTTTTTTTTATAATTTTGGCTAAAATCTGATAATTGAAAGAAACTAATACTTTCATAGAGATACTCAATAAAATTTTCTCTCACTATTTTACTGTAATTACAACTCCTTCTATAAGTAAACTTTGAAACCAGTTCAAAAGTCAAACTTAAATTAAAAGAAGCTAAAGTATTTTTTTAAAATTTATTAGTCATCATCTGTAAAACTAGGTGCACAGTATTCTAAAGTATTTCAGAAAATATGTTATCAAAAAATTGCGACCTAAATTGTTTAGTACCTAAATTGTTCAGATAACTTTACAAGCAAGAAGACAGTTCATAATAAATAATAATCGTATTTTTCTTAAATTAAAACTTTTGTGAAGCGATTTTAATGTAGTATTAAATTTTTTATAGTTGAAATTAGAAGTACTACTTCAAACATTTCGAATAATAAAAATAATTAAAAAAGGATGATGTTTACAAAATATTTTCCTGCACTACCGAAAGGAAATTGAACTGCATAAAAAATTGGAAAATAATTATAAAATATTAACACAGAAGTGTAAACAATTTAGATAAAGACAACTTAATATGTTCAAAGCATATTTAGAGATAATCTAAAAATTAAGTAATAAATTAATCTAAGCTTATAGAAAATCAACATGCAAAAATAATACACGATTTTTTGAAAAAATATAAATTATCTACACCATGAAAAACATTAGGTAAATATATTCTTTTTGGTGATAAAAGCAGTTTTGTGCTTTAATTTTAATGATCTTTTTCACTCAAAAAACCAAAAATTAATTTTAATTATCTATTTTTTATTGCAATAATAAAATATTTCAATGAATGCTTCAAGTTAAACTAATAATAAAAAAGCAATTCATTCTTAAATGAAATTTATAGGTTAATTTGTTATTATTAAATTAAGAAGTAAATTAAGATAAGATTTTACCTGTAGAACAAAAAATAATCCACGCACTCTTTTAACTCAGCACATCTTTTACGGTGATTCAAAAAAATTCTTTCACTTCAATTAATTCTTTTTCTTTCCTTTATTAAATCCAAATGTAAAGAAAAAACGTAAACGTAACACCCCTTTCAATGACAGATGCACCGCAAATCTCTCAATTCTTGCCGCTGCGACCGGTTTTCTGAATTTCAAGACCGATTCCCGTGGTTGTTCATTCCATACTAAAAGATTCGAAAATGAAGTCGAAATGAAGGGATACATCTGGTTTCTGATGTTACGTCAGAGAGGGCGGCAAAAGAAAGTAAAAAAAAGTGAAGATGGGATCAAGAAAACAAAACTGGACTTATTATCTACCCAACCCTTTCTGCGAGTACGTTACACTGGTAATTAATTTTCCTTTTTTTCTTCAGGGCCCGACTATGGTGTACTTTGGTTTAGAGCCTGAACTTCATTTTAGAACTCCCTTTAAAGCTCTACAGTTTTTAGTTTTTTAAGTCCAAAAGCTTATATTACACTAATGGGCCCGACTATGGTGCATTTTGGTTTAGAACCTGAACTTCAGTTTAGAACTCCCTTTAAAGCTCTACAGTTTTAGTTTTTTAAGTCCAAAAGCTTATATTACACTAATGCCTGTAAAAACTGCAACAGCATGAATGAATTGTCTGAAATTAATGAAATTTATTTAACACGTTATTGATAGTGGCATAATAAATAATCAAATCCCTTCTTCTATTGGTTTGACAACCCTTTGTGGGCCAGAGCCTTCCCTAGAATCTTCCTCCACTCTGCTATTTTCTTTGCGATTGTTCTCCAGTTAGTAATTAAGATTTTGAAACCCTTTTTCACACAGTTAAGGCATCTGATCTTGCGTCAATTCTAACTCTAGTTCCCATTGATTTGTGATTTTAGATATTAAATGTCAAGGAAGAAGGGTCCATTCAACAGATTTGACAAGCTTAAGTAACTTATTTTTATGTATTTGTTGATATCAGCTTCCTTGAATAGTCTATAAAGTTCAAAATTTTGCTGCCTCCAAAAGCATCCACATTTATAGCATCGAAATTTTTCTCAAGGCTATTCTGTCAAAGACAGCTAGTAGGTCTGCTTGATTTAGTTAGTGGTTTAGTTAAAGACTATGTTTCGGATCCCCAAGTTAAGACAGATATAATGATTGCTTTATAAAGCAAAATAATAATCAAATTTAATAATAATCAAATTTGCAAGATAAAAAAGCCGGCATTGGAACATTCACGTTATGAATGTAATTCTGGGGAATAGCATTCCACATGGTTTTTGACTGGACTCTTGACACTAATGTTCAGCGTTACTGTGTTCCACTAGTGGAACGAGCGAGACACCGATTGATGAAATCCCAGATATGTTCAGTGCATGACATATCCGGAGAATAAGCAGGCCATGGAAGAAGCGAAACATGTGCTGATAAAGAGCTGGTGCTCCTTCCCTGCTTTTCCTTACTAAACATTTGAACATTTTACCTCGCTTAACATTTCATGTAAGTTTGGTTATATTTGCATAATTCCTTTATGGTGATGTAATTTTCATAAACGTGAGCGTTAATAAAAGTTACAGTTTTTTACTTCTTCCAAAAATGTTAGCAAACCTTTTAAATATTAACCATTCGAGAAAAGAGGACTAATATGCAACACCACTATTGAAACTGAAAGTTGTGGTGATCTGAACCAAAGATAATCTATGACGCCATGTGAAAAGACATGTGAACGTTGAGACATGTGAACTAAAGACATGTTAACGTTGCTCGAAGGCGACATTAAGAAAATAAAAGCCTTCTGTTGGCTGTAGTGTGTAGCATGGACGTTGTTAGAAAAAGTTTTTTTTGATGAGTTTTTAAGTTCATCATTAAAGTGTATTATTTTTAGTCAAATGCGGCTGAATACTTTTTTATACTTTATACATTCTTTTTTTACCAAAAAACTAATTTTCTATGAATAACCATGGTTTATTATTATAAGAATTAACTCTTACATATTTAATATATTTTGGTACTACCTTCTACATCAACTTCTAATTTTCTAAAAAACTAGTTATTAAATAAATAATCCGAAGAAACTGAAGTGGTAAGATATTTTTTAGTTAAAAAAACTCATTGGCTTCAAAAAAGTATAGAGAGGAAATGAATATTCATATGAATGCTGATTTCTTGATTAACGGAATTAGTTCCTCACCACCTCTTCATAGCAAGTGGAAATGCATTTTCCTCTCAGCCAAAGTAGTTTTTCTTGTTCTGGTTTTTCATCTTTACTTTTATTCTCTCTCGACTTCTGAGGTTTTTCCAGTTTGTTTCTCACCTTTATTTTTACTTTTCGGTTAACAACTTTACGTTTAATATTTCAAATTATTTATGTTTCTTCTCATGCACGTCTGGTTAGTCTTTGAAATAGGTTCCTTTTTTTGAGCGATGGAAACATGTAGACTGTCATTTTCAAATAGTGTAATTTTAAAGCGAATGAAACTTTTTAATCAAGAAAAAGTTATTTAGTTATTACTATGCTTAGAGTGTGTGATTCATGACTAAAAATGCTTAACTTAATAAACCTTTCCAAAGGTTTAAAATTTTTTATCTGAACAAAAGGAATGCAACTGAGACTAAATAGTTGTATGTGATAGCCTTTGTCGAGTCTGCATTGAAATATGTTTTGACATTATCATATTTTGTCCTAAAATAAACTTTGGAACATGTTTGTTCTATATTGTGCTTAACAATTATGGTTGGCATTGATGCTAAAGAGGACATTTCAAATTAACTTTATAAACTGGTATTGTTACTGATAAATTTCATTCCTGTACACGAAGAAGTGCTCTTTCTAAGTTTGCAGTACAAAATCTGCTCTATCAGAATCTGTTCGAAATCTGATCAATCCATCAGGAAAATCTGTTCAACATTGAATCAAAGTATCATTTAATTATCGATATTATTATCCTTGAATAATAATATCGTGCATGAGAAAAAAGTGTGGTCGAAACTACCAGAATATGGTAAAATTTACCATGTTTCTAGCTCTATGGGGACATCAAAAAGCAAAGCAATTAGAACCGAAGCATTTTGGTAATGATTTTGGTAAAATTAACAGTAAAATATTGTTTTATAATATGAGATAAAATTTGGTAAATGTGGTAAAATTTGATAATTTTATTATGATATCTTAGAGCATGGTACAATAATCATTTATTCAGTTAATTTTACTCTTTACTTTTGTATTTGTTACTAGACATTTGATAAAAAGAACTATGATTCTGAAAACCAGAATTTCCGGAGAGCCGCTAACATATGAATGGAAAAATTGCCAAATGAATGGTTTGATTACAGTTTATTTTGATTTTATTACCCGGTAAACCGTTACCATATGATTGGTTTAAATACAGTATATTTTGGTTTTATTGCTAGAATCATATATTTTTTTTTACCAGAAATGTCTTTGCAATACTTCGGTAGTTTTACCAGATTTTTTTCCTCAGAGTAGGAATTTGCAGGAATTGCTAAAAGGTATTAAATTGAATCACCTTGATTTTGAAATTGAACTGCAAAATTGCATAATCAAATTTAGGCTTAATTTTCATACAGCATAGTTTTATTTTGCACTGTATTAAAATTGCAACAAGTTTGAAATTTGTTTTTAATAATGAATATATTTTTTGTGAGTTGTGTGATCGTGTTTAGCCATAGTCATGAACGATGTTTTTTTAAGAACGATTATAAAATTAGGTACCATGTTTGTGACTCTTGTGAAATTTATTATAATTTTATAAAATTTTACTAATATTTGAAATAGGAGGTTTAGTACCACATTACGAGTAAGGCTCATAAACTAATTATCAGTAAGCGTGTAAGTAACATTTACAGACTATTTATTTTGCTTGGTATGAAAGCAATATTTTTTTAAATGCGTAAATTTCTTGCCATTTGAAAAAAAAATTGCGAAAATTTTCTGATAAACAGTATACAGCTTTTCTTGCAAAAACGTCAACCATTTCTTAGGAAATATTGTATTGGAGGTGTTTACAATAGAAAGTGTTCTACTATAAAGTTATTTTCACAAAGGCAGAAATAATAAAACTTAACTTTTATACATGAGTCGTTCTACGAGGCATTCATGCGAGAAACAAGCTTTTCTCTTTCATAAACTTTATAGCTTATTGCAAGCAAATAAATAAGGCAAAATTGTGAAGATTCCCAGCATTTGATTTATGAATCCAAAAAATCTACATACAATTCTTGTTCAAAAGTCTGAAATCCCATTGCTAATCATTCGCTATCCTTTGCTATAGATCGTATGTTAACAAAATTAAAACAAAATTTCTTTGAACGCCTTTTAGAACGTCTGAGCTGAAATATTCATTCCATTACAGCTAATGATTTTTTTTTTAATTCGAAGATTTCGAAAACAGTATATCACTTCAAAAACAGGTAAAACATTATCCCTTTTTCAAAACAAACAACTTTTCATTAACAATGAGTCTGGAGGATTTGAAAATCATCGCTTCTTTTGACATCAACGCTCAATTAACATGAAACATCTTGATTTCGCTATATATGAAGCAAGAGTGTCAGGATTCCCTATTCTGGTTACTCAATGGTTAAAAAGATAGTTACGTATAGATTATTTTTCGTAATTGAGAACTAGAAATATATATTCCATCCATATTACATCTGAGTCTACTGTTCCACTATATGCATTTATTACCTTTGAAATTTTTCTTCAAAGGGTTTAATAAATCCACAATTTTCCTTATTTGAATATTTTAATCACTTTTTTGTGAAGTGCGTAAAGTATGGTAATAGGTGGTTTATTTTTAAGGTGAAACTTATTCAGTTTCTGTCCACCTCCAAATTGGCGTTGCCTCCAAATTGGCGTTAATTGTTCGTAACCTGTGTTACGCTATATGCTTAAATCATAAAAATCTTAGTTAAATGTGCACAAAAGTTTAATATCAAAATCAAAAACTAACATAGTTGGTTGTTTCATAAAAAACTGATTCATGTAAGTTTTTCACCCTTAAATGCAATTCTTAAAAGTATACATTAAAATTAAAAAAAGCAAGCTGTATTATTATCACATGTTCGGTAACATTAAAAGATGTAATTTAAAATTTTTAAATGGGATTTAATGTATTATATCCAATAGTAGCAAAAATAAAAGTAAAATTGATTTGGAAAAATAAGTCCAGTATTTATTAGTTATGTGTAAATATTTGCAGTTGTTGTGATGTAATAACCTCACGTTATTACGTCGCTTTTTATTTGAACGACAGTGGTGGTTGTATAGAGTTTCTACTGTATTCAAAAGACAATCATTAATTTGTGTTAACTGAATATTATAATCTTCATGTAAACACGACTTAAACATTACAATCTTCACGTAAACATTCATGTAAACACGACATTCCATGCAAACCTTGCTTTAATAACCGTGTGTT